CTTCTTGAGGAAGCTAAAACTCGTGAAGTCTCGCAGTCTGAGGTCAGTGAGCAGCTCCAGGAGATGAAAAGCAGTTTGGACGCCTCTAAAGAAGAGCTCAGAGGCTACAGGCAGCAAAATGAGAAGCTCGTCGAGGAGCTTCGCATCCGAGAGCTTTCTATTTCCAGTCTAAAGAAGGAGCTGCAAGAGGCGCAGGCAGCTTTGATGAAGACGTCAGAATCTGTTACTCCATCACCCTCACCTTCTCCCTCTCCATCTCCTCAGCCTGCCTTCTCTGCCTCCTCAACATCCACTGCACAGCCCAAAAGGAAAGGAGGTAAACAGCAAGCTGCAAAGGGAGGCGCTCCCAAAGAGAAGCAATCCCTCTCCAGGAAAAACTCCAGCCAGAAACCTCAGAGCCTTCAGTCGAACAGCAGCTCAGATCACCAGCATGAGGTTACCACAGACTCCTTTACGCAGACTGAACCCTTCCAAATGACTGATCTCAGCCAGTCTGCCGCCAAGGAACAGATGGAAGAAGTGATCGGAGAATTTGAAGAGAAGATTGCCCAGATGCAGGAGCTCCACGCGGCAGAGATCCTTGATATGGAAGCTCGGCACATTTCTGAGAGCGAGAACCTTCGCAGAGACACTCAAGCTCTGGAAGACGAGTGTAAGGGTCTGAAAGCTGTTATCGACAAACTCTACTCCACTGAGGTGAGTGCAAGGAACAGAGTAACGTGTTCACAACCTCTAGACTTTTTGTCATATTCAGTCATATTAAAACCAGTAATTAGCAGTACTTCTGGTCTGTCGGATGAAATCCCTATAAAACACAATAAAGTGTATTTTTTATGTTCTGAAACACTGGAGGTTTGTACAGAAAACTGGTTTAATCTGAAATATCTTTGATTATATTTTCATATTTTTCTGTTCATTGTGTTTAATTTTCTCTTGTTCCTTATAGGTCCCTCCATCAAGACAGGACCGTCCTGCATCACATAAAGACGGCTACACCAGTGGTGAGAAACTCCACATTCAGTCCGTTTAACTATCTCCTTAAACATTAAGATACACAAGTTTTCAGATGAAATCCGTGAGCAGTTTTTGGTTCAGCTCTTAGGCCTGCTGCACTTCCTCACCTTGCTGTTTGTCTCATGTTATATTTTTAAATATGCTGCTCAGTTGAAGTTTTATTTCATTTTGAGTTTTTTTGTTTTCTGTCTTGCAGACAGCAGCTCAGACTACAGCCAGAGGACAGGATTAGATCTCCCCAGCTTGCAGCAGGAGTTCAGGACAACTCCAGAAGGTGCAAGGAGAGAAGCTGATGATCCTCTGCCTGACCGGATAAAGGTGAGAAGTTATATGAGTGACCACTAAATACCTCTATAAAGTTTGTTTTTGTGTGTGGAACATTCCTTTTTTTTTTTTTTTCTGAGCAGATGTTGCTCCGCGAGGTGCACCAGGAGGGAATGCAGGTCCTGTCCCTATCTGAGCTCCCCCTCTCTGAGGGAGAGCCAAGCAGCCAGTTCAACGTGGACGGCTGGGTGAAGGAGAGAGACGCCCTGCTGGCCACGGTTCAGTCTCTCAAAATCCTCATCAGCCAGATGCAGACGCACAGCCAATCACAGGTACAGGAGGCCAGTTTGTCAAAGGTCAAACCAGTCAGAAGCTGCAAGGTGTAGAAGAGGAGGATTAGTCAGAAATAATGACAAATTATTTATTTTTGGTTAATAATGTTTTATTTTGCATCAACTGCTTTTTCAGACATATTGAGTTAATTCTATATATCTGATCCTTTAAAAAAAAATAGTGTTTTGATAATCTTGGTGTTTGTTTAAAAGAGCTATTTAAAACAAATCAGTTGATTCTGATATGTTTTGTGTTGGATTTTTATTAGATTTAATCAGCCTTAAAGGTAATAAAAAACAAACAATAACTAATTTCTGAACAATACAAATGACAAGAATATGTCCTCCATCCATGTATCTTCACCCAGTTGTCCTTGAAGAGTCATGAGATGTGGGGTACACCCTGAATGGGTCATCAGTCCTTAACAGAGCAAAAATATATTAGTCTATAATTATACTTGAAAAATAAAGAAAGTGAAGCTAAATCATGCTTAGGGTGTCTGATTATACTGATCTAAATGCCAAATTTAACACTTGAGTTCTTTAAGTGAGAACTAATTTAATAAATTGGAAGTGCTCTTCAGACATCATAAACAAAGGGAAATAATATGTAAAGGTTTAAGAAAAGACCAGATTACATTATGTGAGTTACGTTATAGCGTTAATGCTAATGTGTTTTATTTGACGAAGTTGTGCAGAAGCGGTGAAAAGAAAGGAAAACAAATTACAAAGCTATCAGACCTTTATGATATTCATGAAAACATAACAGCGAAATGAGAAAATGTTAATTATTTAGGAAAAGATTCAGATTTTGTTAACTAATTTTTATTTAGATCTTATCAGGAGACACTTCTTTTTCTGGGTTCATCTTCATGTGTCTAAATTACTACAGAGAAAATGATACAAGCTTCTAAGCAGAATCATTGAGAGAAGGCAGTGCTGCCAGGGTCCAGATCTGACAGAAAGCTGTGGTCATTAACCAGACTCCTGCTCTGCTTGTACAGAGACCTGATGGGCCCCTGGAGAAGGGCTTTAGACTGTCGGATGTTTTCTCCAGGTCCACAAAGTTTAGACAAGCTGGCATGTATCTTCTTGTAGAGCTCGATCAGTGTTTCAAAGCCAGAAAAAACCCCACCTTTGTTGTGATCATATCAATTAGCTTTATATTTGATTAAGAGTGAAAAATAAGACTCTTAATTCCTAACCTGAGACAAGAATAGAAAGAAAAACAATGTTTTGGTAAAATCTCTGAAAAAAAATAAAAATAAATAAATATTAATCGGCTAACAGAAACATCCGGCTCTGTCTTTGTGTCTGTCTCATGTGTTTCTCTAATGTCCCGCAGACGTCAGCTGTTGGTGCTGACTGGCGCGCAGAGCTGCTGGATGCTGTCAGACAGGTGTTTGTGAGGGAGAGGAGCGTGCTGAAGAGCGCCCTCTACAGCCAGTTGGATCTGTTAGACACCAGTGATGCCATCGTTCACCTCAATCAACTGGAGCGCAGACTGGCTGAACAGGTGTGAAACAACAGCTTCATCTTTTTAATACAGATTATTTTAATTTAACCAGCTGTGGAAAGGGTAAAGGAAAGGCTTTAATAATATAAAGTATGTGTTTACACTATATCAGAGATGCTCTGCTCTGTTTAGCTTCACTTGTAGCAGTTTGATTTGGTTCTTGATGGATGTTGTGTGGCCCTGATGCAGGACGCCCACCACAGGGAGGCCATGGGGTCGCTCCACACTGCAGAAAGGTCAAGTCTTATCTCTGAGATTCAGCAGCTTAGAGGTCAACTGGAGATGCTTCATCAAGGTAAACCAGCTTGTAAACATTTATAAATGTCTGATCTTCCCTGGACTTTAAGTTTCTACACCCCTGTTAAATCTCCATCTGTTTGTAATGTTCAATTCAATGGAAAACAGACCTTTCAGAAGTCAAAAAATATGGGAAGATGGAAAAATCTGGGGATAATCTCAAAATTAAAATTTAAATCACCTAAAACTTTTAAACCAAAGTTCAGGATTATTACTTGGATAAAGTAGGAATATTAAAGTAGCTATAAATCTGTGAATAAAACCAGAATTCTGAGGTTAGGGTCAGAAATAAATTACCTTTTTTTTTTTTTTTATTGAGTGGCAAGTTTTTTTGTGATATGTGAAGTTCCTGCAGCTGGACCTGCACTAACGTCGGCCTCTTGCCTGTTTCTGTGCCCCCATAAATTTTGGACAAATGTCCAGCTTTTTCCCTGTCCCATTTGTTCTGCTTTGACCATCTTTACTGTGACATTGCGTACATCTAACTCTTTGGATGTTTCTGTAAGGTTATTTTGATGATACATTTATCAGAGAGACTCTTTAATTCAGGTAACTTAAGTGTGAAGTTGAAGTTATGCTCGTTTATTCCAGCTTTTTCACATTTTCCATTAGATCGGCTTTGAGATGTGTTGTTCAAATATGCGTGATTAATGGTGGAAATAATCTACTGTAGTTGCTGTTTTTAATTCACAGAAACCTGACATTTACAAGCTTTTGTATCTCTAACTATTGTTTGTATCAATAAATTATTAATGATGAAGTCTTTATTTTTTTTATTGTTTAGGTGCAAACCCCGGCCTGTCTTCTGCTGCTGATCAAAACACAAAGGAGCAGAGGGGAGCAGCAGCTGATGGAGCAGCAGAAGTAGACAGGCTGATCTCAGAGGAGGTGAAAGCTGAACTTTCTCAGACAAAACTTGAGCTGGAGACGACACGGAAGGCCCAACACAAACACCTGCAAGAACTGGACACACTAAGGTAGGACGTGAGGCAGAAATGACTGTTTCAGATGTTTTCATGTCTGAAATGGTTTCCTTTAATGTGCTTCTTTGTTCTTATAAGCTAGAATGATCCAAAAGTTTAAGTAAAGAATAAAAAAGTTAGAACTTTACAATAAGTGAATAAATTCTAATATCATAGATGATGATGAATTAGAATAGAATCGACTTTCACCTGAGGATAAATCGTCCTTTGAAACTGGGCTTTGGTGACGATCTTTCTATAGAGTTGAAACAGGCCACTCCATAAAAATCTGGCCTCGGAGGTACCGATTGTGTCTTCCTGATGACGCTGGTTATTCATTAAAATTGCAAAAGTTTCTTCCTTAATGTTTAAGCTGAATGCACATGGACTAGTTTTCTTGTTTTCATTAAGAACCTGGTAAAATATCCTCATGAAACAAGAAGAGGTCCGCTTTTCTTCCTCTTAAACGGCTCTTATGTCCTGGAAGACGGAGGATTTACACCAGGGCAAAGTCCTCTGCTTTTGGTTCTGGAGTGACCTTTACACAGATAACAACAATAAACCTGTAAAAAGTGCAGGCTTAAACTGCTTTTTAAACATTATTCCTAGATAAAGAAGAAGAACTTTGTGTAAAAATTGAAATATATCTTTTGTTTTGGTTGGCGATATAGAAACAAAACTTGTTAAAGAATGATCTAAGAAAAAAAATCTGCTAAATAGTTTTTTCAATCGCGATTATTGATCAGCTTTATTGAGTCCAGCTTTCAGTTGAGTCATAACTGAGTCGGCTGTCCTGAAGCGTAGTGAGCCGTATTCTGGGTCTTTATGTGTAGAAACAGAAGGTGCATAGAGTCTTTTGCTTGTAAGTAGAAGTGAATCAAATCTGAAGCCAGAGGGATTTTCATCATTAACTTTGCACTGATGTGTCGGCAGGGCGGAGGTGTCCCAGAGAGCTGCAGAGGTAGACGCCTTGAATGATGAGTTGATGGAGGAGAAGAGGAGAAGCAGAGATCTTCAGTGGGCAGTGGAGAAGGAGAGGTGTCGATCTGGAAGAGATGAGGAGAGCAAACGAGAGGAACTAGAGGTAAAACAGACGAGCATCCTTAGCATCTGATCTTTTATCGTTAAACATTCCTTTGAGGGAAAGTTTTGATGTCGTCCTTCAGGACCTGCAGCTGGCTCTAGACGAGCAGAAGGCTCATGTAGACCAGCTGACTCAGACCCTGGAGCAGGAGCGCCAGGCTTCCTCTCAGCTCTCCCAGAAAGCGGAGGAGGATCACCTCAGCCTCCAGAGACGCCTGCAGGAACTGGAGGTCCAGCTGGAGACCGAGAGAGCGAAAGCCCTGGAGATGAGTTCTGCCTTGGGGAGAGAGAGGGAGCTGCGCACCAGCATCTCCTCAGATGGCGGTCGCTCCAGTGAAGTGGGCGCCCATGAGGACAGGAGGGAGCCTGAGAGGGAGGGAAGTCTGCTTGAAAGACTGCAGAGGGAGCTGGATGACAAACATACACAGGTGAGATTTAGGTTGTTCTATTTCATCCCTACTGACCGCCAGAGGCGGTGCTTCAAGCACTGCCTCTGGCGGTCAGTAGGGATTCATAGAACCGTAGTTACGGTAGTAACTTTCATTTTCTATACTTGACAGAAACTCTGGTCAGTTTTTTTCTACAGGGGAAGCTTACATTAAAGAGAATATCAAGCATCTAAGGTCTAATTGAATTTACACAGAAACCATTTCAATCCAAATCAGTTAAAACTTACTTGTTTTTTCTAATCTTAATGTCAAATCAAGATCCAATTACACCACAAACAGTTTCAGTGTTGCTGTTTTAATACATTTTTAGATGATTTATTGAATCTGTTATAATTACTTTTATGTCAGTGGGTTTTTTTTGGCATATTTTATAAAAGTTGACAATGATGTTAAGTTGTTAAAAAGGAAAAAGTGTTATTATTTCTCTTCAATGCAATTACATCTAAGTTTAGTTGAAACAATTAAAATAGTATTTATATATTTTTTCCTTTCATTCCCAACGTGAACTGCTTTTGGTTTATTTATAATTTTCAACTGAAATAGCGGATTTTTTGACAGTATGCTTACAGGAAATGGCCTCTGCTCCTTTAAAGGCAGAAACAAAGTTTTGAATAAGGTTAACAGATTTAGATCTTAATGATGGAGGTGATGAATATCTTGTTTCTTCTTTTTTTTACTCCCATCTCCAGGTGGTTAATCTCCTCAGTCAGGTGGAGGTCCAGCAGCTGGAAGTGGTGCGAAAAGAAGAGGAGCTTACTCTGGCAAATCAGAGGTCCAAACGAGACCAGGATAAACTCCAGGAGGCTAAAGGCCAGCTGGAGCAGCTGACGGTACGAATGTCGGAGGTCCAACAGCAGCTGGACAGAGAGCTGGAGAAGAGCAAGAGTCTGGAGAAGGAGAAGAAGCGACTGGAGGAGAGGCAGAACCAGTTAGGAACAAGGAAGGAGAGCGAGCCTCAGAGTGTGAGCAGCAGTGTTTAATTTAGTAGTTGATCTCTGATCAAAGCTACCAGTTGGATTAAATACTTTATTTGTTTTTTCCCGACAGCAGAACGAGCCCAGCGATAGAATCAAAGACTGGGTTCTCCAGCAGAAGAGTGGAAGCGGCCAGTCAGCAAGCAGCACCTCATCCCCTCATATGGAGGGTCGTGCTGTAGACCTCCCAGACGGTCCGCATCATGGGCCGTGGCGCACAGTTGACAGGATTGTAGGGAAACTCCATCTTGTTTCCTCAAAGATCCGCAGCATGGCCAGCAAAGCTACGGGCAGGTAATCCATACAGCCCCCAGAATGGAATGTTTTTTTTAATATATTTTCATATAGATTTTATTTAAAAGATTTTGAACAGATGCTAAAGTTTACTTAAATCAGTTATTACCAGTTACTGGTCTAAATCCAAAGCTAACCTAAATTTTGTCATGTACTGTGAACAGTTTGTTTTCTTCTTACAATCACGAAAACATGGTATTTTGTATTTCATTGACAGGATACAAGCAAAGAATAATAATATTTATTTAATAGTTGTTCAAGCTTTTGATCCCTGGACTCAAAAATCAGTGATTAATACCTTATTTTTTCAAAGTTTAAGACAATCATAACATGGGAAAAAGAGATTTCAGTATAAAAAGTTAGATAATTAGATAAAGCTTTTTACCTAAAATATTGATTTATTAGTTCGGATTACTTTTACAGGTCGATTGTGGAGTTCGACAGCGAGGAGCTTTCTTGGGTTCAGTCCAATGTTGATGAGGTCATCAGCATACTGCAGCAATCCCCAGGTTTACCCTCCATCCCAGAGGTAACTTAATTTTCCTCTTATCTTGTCTGAGAGGGCTGTATGAGAGGATGGAGCCTGTTGTCAGCTGGTGGTGTTTTCCAAACAGCATCTGCAGTTCTCGGTTGTGACAGCTCATCATCTGTCTCCCTCAGAGTGTTTCCCTGCTGGCAGGAGGCTCGTCCAGCTCCTCCAACAACCTGACAGAGCGGCTGCTGAGGCAGAATGCCGAGCTGACTGGGTTCGTGAGCCGTCTGACAGAGGAGAAGAACGAGCTGAGGAACCACACGCTGCGCTTGGAGGAGGAGCTGCGGCGCTATCGGCAGGCTGGAGTGGGATCTGCAGACAATGTAGGTGCATTGCTGCAGAAGAAAAAAAAGGAATTTGACCAAAGTGAATTCAATTGTACATTCCTAAATCCCTCTACAGCCCAGCAGGAGAGGTGTGTCAAAGGCAGAGACGCTTCTCTCTCAGGAGAGGGAAGCTTGGACTCGAGAGAAGCTCCGTCTGGAGAAAGCTTTACATCTTTCTCAGTCCCAGGTGGCCCGTCTCAGGGGAGAAATCAGGTCGGACACTCTGCGAGAGATATCCGGGCCTGAGTCTGATAACTCTGCACTAAAGGTGAAGGAAACAAAGCGGCTTTGCTGTCGCAGCTTTTATCTAGAAGATCAGGTGTTTTTTAATAAAAGCTTATGGTCAGGTTTGTGACTCTTCTTCTCTGCTCCTGGCTTCCTTAGAGAATGTACGGGAAGTATCTGAGGTCAGAAAGTTTTAGGAAGGCATTGATCTACCAGAAGAAGTATCTACTGTTACTGCTCGGCGGGTTCCAGGAGTGTGAGGAAGCCACTCTGTCGCTGCTGTCCAGGATGGGTGGCCAGCCGTCTCTTTCCAGCTTAGAGTCCTACAGCCAGCGCCGCCGGGGATTAACTCGCTTCCGCTCAGCCGTACGAGTATCCATCGCACTCTCCAGGTGGGCTGATTGGAGCCTTATGGTTACAAACTTTTAAAGAAGGAGAAAGTATTTACCAAGTGTTTTTTTTTTTTTTTGATTGACATGTAGAATGCGTTTCCTTGTGAAGCGATGGCACAAAGCCACAGGGGTGACCTCCACGGTTTCCTGCAGCATCAACAAAAACGGAACAGGTGGATTAATAAAAACAAATAAAATCATGTGGATTTTTTTTTCCTTTCATGTCATTTTAGGAGAAAAAGAAAATGTGTCTTTAATCTCTTACAGGGTCAGACGTGAGAGACTCGCCATATCTCCAGCCGGGTGGTCTGGACACGTACAGAGACCGAGGAGGAGGAGTCTCCAGCAGCAGAGGAAGAAGTGGGAGAGAATCTCCACGATCAGGCTTCTCTGCCTCTCAGCACAGGTATGACATCAAGTAAATAC